GCTCCAGCGCGTGGTCCCGGTCCCGAGAGAAGAGAGGCGAGCGCGCGCTGGGCGGTAGAAATCGCGGACAATGCAGATCTCTACACAATTAATAATTAATTTCAACGCATTTTGCGCCAAAATACTATTTTACTGAACATTATATTTCGTATTCCTAACAAATTGTGTGTCAAAATTAGTGTGACAGATTAAGCAGTCTAAAAAGAGTTGGAAATAACTATATTTTTGCAGACTGAAAAGGATGTTACGTATTAAGCACGTATTACTACGTTATTATTACATATTACCTCGTTACGTATTACTTTCACCAATTTACATTAGCTAATATTCATAATGGCAAGGCAAAATGATTAATTTTTGAAGAAAATTATTACTTCAGCCAAATCGTTCTTGCTTATTATGTACAAGGACTGGACAAAATGATGAATTAATCAATTGGACTAGCTGATATAGTAATTATTCTCGTACCTAATGACTAGCAATTATATGCAATGGCTGATAAACCCCTAAGACTGTAACAATTTAATTATTTTCACTCACATTATTTATTGTAACAATGAAAATAATTCGAACATTAAATTTCTAACAATCAAAACATAAACTAATTTTTTAAAAGAATTTAATTTCAATGGGCACATGCTAAGAATGTTAATTGATAATACCTTACGATTCTACATTCTGTAATGTAAAAGCAGGCTTTGTTCTGTTTTTTAAATTATAATAAATCGTAATGACACAAGCCTTTACAAATACCTGCAGTCATTGAATCGTCATAATACAATATATTTTTTATTAAAAAATATATTGTAATCATGTAAACCATGTTTTGTTTAGTTCTGCGGTGTAAAATGTTATTATAGTGGGTTATAGTGCGCGTTATTATAGTTTATTATTATGCGTAAATCCTTATGTGAGAGAAATTGCAAAATTAGCTCTGTAAGTTAGTGCAATTTGAAGTTCATTAGTCATGTTACTGTTGAATTCGAGAAATAACGTATGGTAAATCGCATTCTTCTTTGCGATTAGTTTTTTCATAAGAACTTACGATAACTCTTTATTCTATTTTCCAAATAATTGAGCAGATTTTTTTGCTAGCGATAAAACAGTGAATTAAAACAGTGAAAAAAAAGAATAATGATTCTCTTATGCCTAATTTAAGGAATCTATATCCTTATTTAGGGTTTTCCTTGGCAGATATGCTAGCATTTAACACTTTAAACCTAATTGTCACCGCTAGGTACTGCACTGCACTGTGAAACTACTGCATGAGCTCAGAGTGTTAGCACTTTATTAGAAAGCGTGGGAAGGTCCTCTGCTGTGACTGCGTCCCCCGCGCGCGACGGTGGCGCCGAACGACGTGGAACCGAACCAAAGAACCGCAGGAGTCTACGTACATTTGTTTCGAAAAGGGCGGATCACAAACAATTTTCTAACGATTTCGGGTCGTTAAGATATCCTTATCGCCAATGTAGATAATCTCGTTTGTCACTTTTTATGGCATTTGTGACAAATGTCGTCACGCATTACAAGGTTTACAAACCGTGACATTTATATTTATTACGCTGAGGTACTCTACTTGGGTTTTTGGAAGGGTTCTGAGTAATTTAATAATTAAAATAATGACACTGGACCGGGATTTGATCTCCGGCGCTCTGGTATGGAGTAATATGTAGATTTCTTCTACCATATACAATATCAATCAATTGATTTATATAACGTTATTTCTTCTAGTTGACTGTAATCAATATTCTCAATCATGCAACAGCAACAAACAAAGAACAAGGAAAGTACATAGTTGAGTGAAAGGATGGTCGTCAGCAACCTTACCTTCACTTTCATCAAAGGAACTGTTTCGAGTCAAATAAATACTCATTGCGACCACTGGCATTAGCACCTCACGCTGTTCTTCACTTGAAGTAAACGGAAGAATGACTCGCTTCGCTCGTTTTGGACAAGGCCAACGACCGCGGTCAGATCTCCGCCATAGCTCGGTCTCTCTGGCCTGGCATCAGGTTGAAACGTTGATGCGTCTGAAAGTCAGATAGTGAACAACGAGCTTGAAGATAAGTATTGTCATGAAAGATGGAAACAAGAGAGAATGTAGACCCTCTTTGGCGACAACAGATGAACAAGGCATTATGTCCATTGCTGATGATCAACGACAAGTGGACATGACCGGAAACTCACAGGACATAACATCCCGATGAGGAAACGCAAGCACGTTAGCCGCCACCGGGCCGCTCAGAAGTCATTAAGCCAGCGGAGGAACCTTGTCTCCCAGACAACCATCTTTAACCTTCGGTCACCGCCCAGGCTTTCCATTCCAAACCAAACACCGCGAAGCGTTTCTTCACTTCCTTCGCAGAAAACCGTAATCTCTATGAGGGAGCCCAAACCTGGCGGACTGTGAGGCGCTGCGCCCTCTCCGCCCACGGCCTTCCGAGAAGGCACCTTGGGGGCGTCCCCGCACGGCTCGTTTGCATTCGCGCTGTTTGCCGAGCTTATGTCACCGCCCACCGCGGCCTCGGGAACCTTTAAAAGGCGACCGCGGGCGGCGATCGGCTCTTGTTTGCGCGAGCTCGTGCGCTTTTCGTCTTCGGGGCCGCGGCGT